AGAATAAATTCCTAATACCTGAAGAGCAGCGTATACAAATATGAATATTAAGTGAAATAATTCACCTTTTTTTCTGCCATTTCAGATTACGTAGTTAAAAATCTGTTTGGTAAAGTACTGAACAGAGTATTTATTTTTAATAAAAAAAAAAGACAACAAAAATGTATAAAAAAAATAAAACTAAAACTATGCAGGACTCGAAGCTGACGAAACTCTATTCCCTTCCGAATTGACTCCATTCAATTCCGAATTGGCACCATTCACTTCCTCTTTTTCTTCTTTTTTCTCCTTGCTAACACGTTTTCTCTTCCTGTTATGTTGAGTTAGTTTAGATTTAATCGTTTCAACAATCTCTTTCTTTTTAACTTCCAATGTTGGTGTTAACATATATTGGCTTTTTTCAAAATCAGTCAAAGTATATTGAATCTATTCATCACTTTTGGTTGGTTCAGTTCGAATCGGGTTTGTTTAGGTTCGAGAATCGAGAAATAGACAAGAGTTTTATACAGAGATTCCTTGGTATTGCCAGGAAAAACACAAGATCCTTCGTATTGACAAATATAATTCAATTCCTTGATATCAATCCCGGCTTCTTCACGTACTTCCCTAAAAGCGCATGATTCGAATGTCTCGTTGGGTTCGACTAACCCACCAACCGACTGATACAGATTGTAGTAATGTTTCTCGGGATCATTACGACGATTTAACCAAATAGTATTGTTTAGAGCGGGATTCACCAAGATGCAAAGAGAAAATTCCTTTCGGGTTGATTCAATTTCATCCATAATTTTTTTATGTTGAATAAGAAGATTTGTATTCACATCGAGCATAGACTCTATTTGGGTTGTGGCTTTATCTAAATCGATTGAAATACCGTAATTTTTTGCTTTAGTAAAGTTATTTAAAAGCAAATAATATTCACTGTTTAAATTTAAAATCGATTGGTAGTTTTTGAACGCGTTTTGATATTTCTGGTAGACTGCCATTTTTTTTTTTTTTAAAAAAAAAAAATTACGCAGAAAAAAAATTAATTGGTTTATTAAACTGATTAAATAGAATTACATTGTAAACTTTAAGAAGAAAAAGAAGAATCATCCATCACCAGCTCATTATCGGAAAAAAACACAGAATCATTTTTAACAAAACCCTGTTGAATATATGATGATTTCTTGTCATCCATAATAACAAACCCATCATCAGTAATATAATTCGAACCTTCACTGTCCGATTTTGAAGAGTTCGTGTGAATCGATTCTGAATTGTCCAGATCTTCCGACTCACATTTATAGCAGAAATTTTCGATAGTAAGAATATCATTACACCTCTTACAGTAATAAGTTTTGCTTTTTTCTTTTAAGTTATTAAATCGTCTTTTGTTAAAAGGTTTATGATAAGATATGTTTCGATAATTATATTTCGGTAATTGGCGAATTCGTTCACTATATCTGACAAGTATAATGTAATTATCAAAATTTCGTTTCTCTACATTGAAATTAAAAGATTTGTTTTGCTCTTGAAACAATTGTAAATTGTTTGTGAGATTCATTTTTACATATAAAAAATTCTATTCGGTCAAAGACTGAATAGATAATAATATAAATAACAAATAATAATAAAAACAAAAGAATAAATAAAACTAATTAATCCTCTTCAAATTTGTCAAGCAACTTTTGAATATTTTTGGGCGTGAAACTGTAAGCTGTTTTAACTCCCACAATATTATCTTTAATATCCTTTGCTTTAGACCAATATGGATGATTCCTGCTGTTTGGCAATCTTTTTTCAGTTTCTTTTAACTTTTGATCATGACGATTACATAACCTCAAGTATTTACGCAAGAAAATTTTTCATGCTGTTTTATCGCTAATAGCCTTCTCATAAGCTTTCTTATCAATTTCTGTCGCAACCTCGTAATTCTTCATATCGAGAAACTTTTCAATTTCTTCTTGAGTAAAGGCATTCTTGGTATTTACTTCGTTTAATTTATCGTAAATTCTACAATATTGGAAACTGGCTCCAGTCTTAACTCTAGATATATTCTTCACAAACTCTTCATATTTGTTTGGGAATTGTAGTTTAATTTGTTTCTCTAAATTCTTCAATAAGAATAATTTTGTCTTATAGACAGACTCTAGTTCATCAATAATATTAATTTCTTCGTTTAACTCATCTAAAGTTTCATCCTCGATATTATTGGCTATTTCGTAACCTTTTTTTTCAACCAAAGCGTCTAGTTCAGATTCTGTAAATTGAATGGGTTTTTGAGTGTCTGACATGTTTAAGATTTATGATTTATATACAAAAAAATCTAGTTGGTCCAAAGACTAACTAAATTAAAATTTGTTATTTTTATTATTAATAAAACAATCAGAATAAAACAAAATCTGAAATATCGTTCATATTTAATCCTAAATGTTTTCTGAAAAACTATTGATAAAACTCTATCAACCACCTGAGAAATATCTAATTGTG